GAGAATAGTATGGAGTTTCCTCAAAGGAAAAAAAAAAAAAACTATCATATGATTCAGCAATTCCATTTCTGGGAATATGTCTGAAGGAAACAAAAGCACTGTGTGGAAAGATATCTGCACTGTCATGGTAACAGAATTATTTAAAATATCCAGCACATGGAAACAACTTAAGTGTTCCTCAATGGATGAATGGATAAAGAAGTTGTAGTATGTATATTCAATGGAAACATTGTTCAGCTTTTAAAAATGAAGAAATCCTGTCATTTGTGACAGCTTGGGTGGAACTTGAGGGCGTTAAGCTAAGTGAAAAATACTACGTGAAATATAAAAAAAATTTCTTAAAAAAGAGAGGAAGAATGAAAAAAACAAACTCATAGAAAAAGAGACTAGATTTGTAGGTTATCAGAAATATGGATGGTGGAAGGGTAGGGGAATTGGATAAAGGCAGTGAAAAGGTACAGACTTCCAGTTATAAGATAACTACATTCTGGCAATATAATGTACAACCTAATGACTGTAGTTAACACTGCTGCTGCTGCTGCTGCTAAGTCGCTTCAGTCATGTCCGACTCTGTCCATAGACGGCAGTCCTCCAGGCTTCTCTGTCCCTGGGATTCTCTAGGCAAGAATACTGGAGTGGGTTGCCATTTCCTTCTTCAATGCATGCACACATGCTAAGTCGCTTCAGTTGTGTCCGACTCTGTGGTATCCCATGTACAGCAGCCCACTGGGATCCTCTATCCACAGGATTCTCCGGGCAAGAATACTGGAGTCGGTTGCCATTTCCTTCTCCAGTTAACACTGCTACAGGGTATGTGAAAATTTTTAAGATAGTATATCCTAAGAGTTCTCATCACAAAAAGAAAAATTCCTTTTTTTCCCCTTTTTCAAAATTTTGTATCTATATGAGAGCTTCCCCAGTGGCTCAGATGGTAAAGAATCCATCTGCCAATGCAGGAGACATGGGTTTGATCACTGATCCGGGAAGATCACACATGCTACAGAGCAACTAATAAGCCCACATGCCACAACTATTGAGCCTGTGCTCCAGAGCCCAGGACCCACAACTACTGAGTCCATGTGCCAAAACTAATGAAGCCTGTGTGCCCTAGAGCCAATGGTCCCCAACAAGAGAAGCCACCGCAATGAGAAGCTCACGCACGGCAACTAGAGAGTAGTTCCTGCTTGCCACAAGTAGAGAAAAGCCTACACACGCAACGAAGACCCAGTATTTCCAAAAATAGATAAATAAAAACCTCTTATTAAAAAATTCTATATCTATATGAGATGATGAATATTAACTAAACATTGTAGTAATCAGTTCACAATATATGTGAGTCAAATCATGATGCTATGTACTTTAAACTTATACAGTGCTATATATCAATTATACCTCAATAAAAACCAGGGGAAAGAAAATGAGAGCTAAAAGATAAGTACAGTAAAAGTAAGCTAAATAAAAGAAAGTGTTAGTTGCTCAGTTGTGTCTGACTCTTTGCAACCTCATGTAACCCGCCAGGCTCCTCTGTCCATCAAGTTTTCCAGGCAAGAATACTGAAGTGGACAGCCGTGCCCTCCTCCAGGGGATCTTCCTGATCCAGGGGATCAAACCTGGGTCTCCCACATTGCTGGAAGATACTTTACTATCTGAGCCACCAGGGAAGTCAAGCTAGGTAAAGAGGGAGGCAAAAAGTATCACAGGCAGAGGAAACACTGTGTGCAAAGATTGGGATTTCAGAAAGAGCAGCATCTATGGTAGATATGATTCATAGCCTCAATATCTTTTCTTGCCCAGAATATGATTTCAAGTTTGTTCAGATGTCCAAATAGATCTCTGGATAATCAGGAGAATTTTGATTAGTTTAAACTAGTGTGTGGCATTTCCTTGCTGACTATTAATTTGTTCATCCCAATACAATTTTAAGGGAAAGATGTAGTCCATGCTTCAAGGAGAGATTTTCCTTTCTCTCTGCTGCTGGATGTGATTTCAAAAAAAAAAAAAAAGCAACAACTTATAACCCTTATTTCCCTTGCTACACCAGCCTTAACATGCCAAACTGCATAGAGTTTAACACAAAACTGAAATAAATTGAAATATTTCATAGTAGTAATTGAGTGACAATTGATTTCTATCTTACCTAGAGCTTTCCATTCTTTGGACCTCTAATTTTAGTTCATATTCTCATTACTTGAGCTAGTTTGAGTAGGTGTTTTCTATCTAAAGTCACAAGTATTCTGACTGATAGAGTATTTGACAGGGTAGAAGCAATTCAGTATAACAAGACTACGAAGTAAAACAAAATACAGCTGGAGAAGTAGGCAGAGGCAAAGTCTGTGGGCCTTGTTTCTGCAGGCAATACACACTAAATTCAGGGCATCTATATAGAAAGAGTTCTTCCACCAAATAGGCACACAATGAGGGATAGAAAAATATAGCAGACTTATGACATTTAGAACTTTGTTCTTATAAACACCAAAGCTCAGTCCATTTAGTTACTTTATTGTGGTTACACTACATCCATTTTATTTTTATTCTACATCAGAGATAAGTTATATAATTTGTGAGGGTTGAGTAACTGCCTTTTGAGTACAGTAAGGGATATGGAAATAATACTGGAGAGCTTGATACTGTTTAGTGGTCACAGTCAAATCCTAAAGGCCTTTAAAAAATTTTTCCAGAATGAAAAAAAAAATGTAATAAGGTAGGGAGAACTGATCTAGGAGATCAAAACCTTCCAATTACATGAAGAACAGATCAAATAAAATGAAAAACCAAAGTTTAGAAGAAAACTGTGAAGTGCTCGGACCTGGTGCACTGGGAAGACCCAGAGGAATCGGGTGGAGAGGGAGGTGGGAGGGTGGATCGGGATGGGGAATACATGTAAATCCATGGCTAATTCATGTCAATGTATGACAAAAACCATTACAATATTGTAACGTAATTAGCCTCCAACTAATAAAAATAAATGAAAATAAATAAATAAAAAATAAATAAAAAAAATGAGAAGAAAACTGTGAGCTGAAAAAGGTCAATATAATACAAAATAAATTAGGCAAGATCAGATATTTCCTGATTAAATTTTTTAAATTCATGGTAAGACTTATGAATATCTAGCTATGTAAAACATTACCCTATTTACATTACTGATAGTGTCAGGAGAATCAAGAAATACCATTTCATACCTAACATTGACAAGATAAATATAGGTATATACATGGCAGAAACCAACACAATATTGTAAAGCAATTATCCTCCAATTAAAACTAAATTTAAAAAAGCACTTTCATCTAAAAAAATAAATTTTAAACACAAAGGTAAATTTATAAGATGCTTAATTTCTTCCAAATATCTGAACAAAAACCAAAGAAAAATATAGTACATTAAATCAACAGCATAAAGATATGAAAATATTAAAGCAAAAAGAGGCTATTGAGGATAAAGCAAATGTAAATGAGTTAATGCCTCTAATAAAGTTTCAGACTGAATTGATAAGAAAATACTATTTGCAACTTATGAGAGACATCTAAAGTGCCTTAGAAGTTAAAACTATTTTTTAAATGAGCAAAGATATAATAGAAAAATATAATAAAATGTATAGGTGGTGATGAATAATAATCAAAGAAGAATTCAATAAATGAGGCAGAGTCACTTTACATTGAAAAACTAGGATATGGTCAGTGAATAGCCTTACATAGTAATTAACAGTGTGGCCAGATTCTGCACTACTATTTTCACATGCATTAACTAATTTAATGTTCAGAACATCACAATGTGGTAGACATGGTAATTATTTCCTTTTTACAGATGAAAAAACTAAGTACAGAGTTCAATGAATTGTTCAAAGTACTCACTGTTAAGAGCACATATGGGATTTGGACCTAGGTCTTTATGACTCGAAGAGCACTGAGACACTACTTTATTGTATCTGAAAGGTTAGTCCTTGCTTACTAAAAATGCAAACTCCAGGAATCACCTCAGATGTATTCTAGAGCTCTGAAATTTGCATTTTAACAAGTACTCCAGTCGATTCTTATGCATGCTAAAATTTGAGAGCTGCTGCACTACATGTGCTACGTCCAAGAAACTGAGAGAAACACAGTTGAAGTGGAAATCTCTAATCTGCCCTTTCTGTCTTAGATTAAGTAGAAAGAACAATAAATGATCTAAATATTAATCAGGCTGTCATAGCAAACTTAAAAAAGACTACAGAGAATATATATTACTTTCAACCACTCTTTTTACATTTATAAAATTGATCATACATTAGATTCTAAAAGAAAACAAATTCCAAAATCCGTTGATGATAAAGACCACAGTATTTGATCACAATGTGCTAAAACTAAAACTTAACAACAATTGAAAGGAAAAGACACAACTAGTTATAATTAAAAGCAAAACACATTCCTAAATAACTACAGATTGTCCCTAACTTAACAATGGTCAGACTTAAGATATTTTGACTTTACAGTGGTGCAAAAGCAGTACACACTGAGTAGAAACTGTACTTCAAATTTTATTTTGATCTTTTCCTGGGCTAGTGATATGTGGTGTGATATGCTTTCATGATGCTGGGCAATGGCAGCCAGCCCCAGGTCCCTGTCAGTCAAGAGATCATGAGGATAAACAACTGATACACTTACAACGCAAACACGATTCTGTTTTTCACTTTCAATACAGTATTGAATAAGTTACAAGAGATATTCAATACTTCATTATAAAATAGGCTTTGTGTTAGATTATTTTGAACGAATGTAGGCTAATGTAAGTGTTCTAACCACACTGAAGGTAGGCTAGGTTAAGTGAAGATGTTCTGGAACTCAGGTGTCTTAGATGCATTTTTGACTTAACAATATCTTCAACTTATAATGGGTTTAGTGAGATGTAGCTGCATGGTAAGCTGAGGAAGGTCTGTATTTAATCAACTAAGAAAACCCAAAGATACACCTATAGAACTACAATGAGAATAATAAACATAAAAATGTTTGAGTCTACCCGCCAAAATGAGAAAGATAGAAAATAACAAGTGTTGGGCTCGTGAGTCCTGCGCCTGCCACGGCAGCACTGAACCCTCAGGCTACTTGATTGTCCTTAGCGGTGGCCGTGGTTGCAGCCTCGGCACTTCGGCCCGGCCTGCAGACACCAGAGAGGGCGCTCCTGCCGTGGCCATGACCACCCGGAGCAGAAATGGCCTGCACGGGGACACACAGACCTTGGTAGTCAGCCCGGGAGTGGCTGCAGGGGTTGGCATCTTGGCCGCCTTCCAGGGGAGTGAGTTGGCAGCACCCGGCTGGCCCCAGCATCATGCCCGCTCTGTCCACAGGCTCAGGGAGCGACGCAGGTCTGTATGAGCTGTTGGTGGCTCTGCCAGCCCAGATGCAGCCACACATGAACAGCCAGAAAGACCTGACCTTCCTCTGGGATGTGTTCGGTGAAAAAAGCCTGCATTCACTAGTTAAGATTCATGAGAAACTTCACTACTACGAGAAACAGAACCCCATGCCCATCCTCCAGGGCGCGGCAGCCTTGGCCGATGACCTGGTGGAGGAGCTTCAGAACAAGCCAATAAACAGTGAGATCTGAGAGGGGCTGAGAAACTACTGTCAAAACCCAAGGTGAAGGCTTTGCTCTCTGTGCATGACACTGTGGCTCAAAAGAATTATGATCCTGTGTTGCCTCCTATGCCCGATGACATTGACGATGAGGAAGACTCGGTGAAAATCATCTGCCTGGTCAAAAATAGAGAACCACTGGGAGCCACTGTTAAAAAGGATGAACAGACTGGGGCCATCGTGGTGGCCAGGATCATGAGAGGATGAGCTGCAGACAGAAGTGGTATTATTCAAGTTGGCGATGAATTTAAGGAAGTGAATGGGATACCTATCGAGGGTAATGATCCAGGAAATAATCTCGATCTTGGCTCAGTCTCAGGGTGCAATAACATTTAAGATTATACACAGCATCAAAGAAGAGGCACCATCGAAGGAAGGCAAGATGTTTATCAAAGCTGTCTTTGACTACGACCCTAATAAGGATAAAGCAATTCCATGTAAGGAAGCTGGGCTTTCTTTCAAAAAGGGAGATCTTCTTCAGATTATGAGCCAAGATGATGCAACATGGTGGCAAGCAAAGCATGAAGGAGATGCCAACCCCAGAGCAGGACTGAATCCCTCTAAACCTTTCCAGGAAATGAGACTGGCTCTGAGACGACCAGAAATATTAGTCCAGCCCCTGAAAGTTTCCAGTAGGAAATCATCTGGTTTTAGAAGAACTTTTCATCTTAGTAGGAAAGATAAGAAAACAAATAAGTCCATGTATGAGTGCAAGAAGAGTGACCAGTATGACACAGCCAGTGTGCCCACGTATGAGGAAGTAACACCCTATCACCAGTAGACGAATGAGAAATACAGACTTGGTTGGTCTTGGTTGGTCCTGTTGGAGTAGATTTGAATGAAATGAAATGAAAGCTGCTGATCGGTGATACACAGCAATACGGTGTGACAGTGCCCTATACCACCAGACCAAGAAGAAGCCAGGAGAATGATGGTGTTGAATATATTTTCATTTCCAAGCATTTGTTTGAGAGGAAATAAGTTTATTGAATATGGTGAATATAAAAACAACTATTACACTACAAGTATAGACTCAGTTTGGTCTGTCCTGGCTAAAAACAAAGTTTGTTGGATGTTCAGCCTCATACAATGAAGCACTTAAGGATACTAGAATATAAGCCATATGTGATATTTATAAGGCCTCTGTAGATAGGGCATTTGAGGGAGACAAGAAAAAATGCAAAGATTATGTCAAGCAGAGACGACCAAGGTGCTGCGAAGCCCTTTATGGAAGACAGCTTTCAAGAAATGATTAAATCTGCCCAGATAATGGAGAGTCAGTATGGTCATCTTTTTGACAAAACTATAGTAAATGATGGCTTAAAGCTCAACATTCAGAAAACTAAGATCATGGCATCTGGTCCCATCACTTCATGGTAAATAGATGGGGAAACAGTGGAAACAGTGGTAGACTTTATTTTTTTGGGTTCCGAAATCACTGCAGATGGTGACTATAGCCTTGAAGTTAAAAGACACTTGCTCCTTGGAAGAAAAGCTATGACCAACCTAGAAAGCATATTAAAAAGCAGAGACATTACTTTGCCAACAAAGGTCTGTCTAGCCAAGGCTATGGTTTTTCCAGTAGTCATGTATGGATGTGAGAGTTGGACTATAAAGAAATCTGAGCCCTGAAGAATTGATGCTTTTGAACTATGGTGTTGGAGAAGACTGTAAGAGTCCCTTGGACTGCAAGGAGATCCAACCAGTCTATCCTAAAGGAAATCAGTCCTGAATGTTCATTGGAAGGACTGAAGCTGAAACTCCAATACTTTGGCCACCTGATGTGAAGAGGTGACTCATTGGAAAAAACCCTGATGCTGGGAAAGATTGAAGGTGGCAGGAGAAGGGGTCGACAGAGGATGAGATGGTTGGATGGCATCACCGACTCAATGGACATGAGTTTGAATAAACTCCAGGAGTTGGTGATGGACAGGGAGGCCTGGCGTGCTGCAGTCTATGGGGTCGCAAAGAGTCGGACATGACTGAGTGACTGAACTGATAGTAAATGATGATCTTGCTGTGGCCTTCAATGAGCTGAAAAGAACTTTTGACAAATTGGAGACAAATACGCATTGGGTTCCAGTGAGCTGGTTACATTCGTAACTAAGGGAAGTTTTCCTAATTATCTTTTTTTTTTTTTTTTTGTAGAGTGCATGATTAAATCAGTTACCATTTTGGTGGTAGGGTTTTTTAAATCTATATCACTGTTAGAGATGTACAATCTTGGTTAAAACTGAATGTTTGTTTTGTTTGTATCTTTTTACAGTCTTATTTCAAACACAGTGTTTGAGTATGAGATCCAGAATTAAAATGTGCTCAGTACTGTATTCTGAGCAGAACTTTGAACCTTCTGGCTGTCTTGAATACAGAGCTCTACCTCCAAGAGGAGGTTGAACTTTTTATAGAGAAAGTTAGCTAGAGAATATACATGGGTATCCAGTGCTTCCACTGGTCTCAGATGTGGTCGCTGCCTTTGCATTTGCATGTTAGCCATTGAAGATGCTAAGCTTACAGAGTTGAGCAACTCAAGACAAGACAGTTTAGGTGTATTTTGGGTGGATCATCGTAGATGCACCTGGACTGGCATTAAGGTGGAGTCCTCTTACTATCCTAAAAGTGCAACCGTTTCTCTTACATAGATGCAGTTTAGTCACAGTGTGTGCACTCAAGAATCTCTCTTTAAAGGATACTAGTGATCTTCAGTGAGTAAATTATATAGCTCAAAATACTAGAAATGTGCATAGTTGTATAAGAGAATATGTGTCTCATTCTTGCATGCAATAAGACCTTGCCACTCAGAATCATCGCATCTGTGACTTTCAAACAGAAAAAAAATTTTTCTTTTGATTTGTAAAGAGAGTTTAGATGTCCTGTTCAAAGAAATATAAGTGTAGTGAAATTTTATATATTTTTATCAAGTATTTGAAAGGCATATTTTTAAAAATTATCATATGAGGCTATTCATAAAACAAATTGTATGTAAAGATGTCGTAATTTAAAATAGTAGCTTTTTAAGTCAGGGTCAACATTCCATGTAAATATTTTGACCTTTGTTTGTACTCAGATCCACACGTGCGCTCTGTGCACATCTGATAACATGACTCACCGGGTTTCCTTCATATGTGTGAGATTTCATACCTGATACACAATCGCAGCTAAATAGTTAGATAACCAATGTTACCTGACAGCCTAATCCAAACAGCAAGTTCTAAGTTAATTAAGTAAATAGCAACCAATACAGTTTAAAAAGGGGTTTGGGGTTGCCAAGTCTAATACTGAAGCCATACTTCATGGTTGTGTGGCTGGTCTAAGAAAGTACAAGTCTTCCTTGGATGGTTTGGGTAGGATATTCTTTTTGAACACTGATTGAAATTTCCAATAAATTGACTTCCTAGGGAATGAATTATAATTTAGGTAGTCCGAATTCTTTGTTCAGAAATAGAACATGATTTGTTTTTGTTTTTTGCCTCAATTCTTTACTGTGGAGGTAGAGATCATGTAATAAAAATAGAATCCCTTTTGGTGGTAGGGGTGGTGATGGAAGTGTTTAGAAATATAATTGTCCAATCTCTCTCCCTTTTTACACTAAAGCTGAACAATATTTTTTAAAATAATGGAAAGGGGAAATTCAGCAATTTGAAAAATCTTTCAGCAGTAGTACACATACGTGGCCTTGCTGGTGACGTCCACATGGCCATCCTGATGCTTAGAAAGAGATTCAGTCTCTCTTTAATTTAGTAAGGCAGGGCTAGTAGCTCCATGGGCTTGGTGATAAATGTTGCAAAGGGCTCTTGATCCTGTGCTTGGTGTACCCCTGGATCCCTCTTGAGGGAGGAGAGACTGGTTCTTTAGGCAGCCTGCTCCGAAGACAATGTCAGCCACTGTTTGAGAGAACAGGAATATTTATTTTTTTAAGTCCAAATATTTAATATCCAAGATTAAGAAGATAAGTATGTATTCCCATCATTAACAAACTGGACTCTGTTTGCTTTTTTTTTAAGGTAAAACTGAAATACCATTTTTTACCATTATTTTACTTAGCAGTATAGACATTATTGATATCTTTAAGGCTGATCTTCCTGGTATCATGTAATGACTGAATGTATCTAACTTATAATAATTTAAAGTTGACAAGCATATAAAGGAAAACTATGTTGTTAAAAGTTTCCTGAAGATATAGATTTTTATTTATTTTCTTTTTGACTAGTTAGAGTTCACAATTACAAGTAATGGGAAAATTTGAGCATAATAAAGTATCTTCAAATTAAAAAAAAATAACAAGTGTTGACAAACTATAGAGCAAGTGAAACTGTCACTCATTTCTAATGGGAGTGAAATAGGTGTAATCACGTCAGAAAATGCTTTGCAGTATCTACTTATGCTAAAATTATATGTGTGCTCTATGATACAGAAATTCCTCTCTTATATTAGTAACCAAAACACTGTGTTCAAGTGCTCATGCATACTCAGTTGTGCTGACTTTCTGCTGCCCCATAATCTGTAGCCTGCCAGGCTCCTCTGTCTATGAGATTTCCCGGGCAAGAATATTGAAGTGTCTTGCCATTTCCTACTCTGGGGGAAATCTTCCTAACCCAGGGATTGAACCTGTGTTTCCTGCATTGACAGATTCTTTACCATTGAACTACCTGGGAAACCTGTTCATGTGCTCAGTTCAGTTCAGTTCACTTGCTCAGTCAGGTCCGACTCTTTGCGACCCCATGGACTGCAGCACGCTAGGCCTCCCTGTCCATCACCAATGGCTGGAGTCTATGCAAACCCATGTCCATTGAGTCAGTGATGCCATCCAACCATCTCATGCTCTGTTGTCCCCTTCTCCTCCTGCCCTCAATCTTTCCCAGTCTTTTCAAATGAGTCAGCTCTTCACATCTGGTGGCCAAAGTATTGGAGTTTCAGCTTCAACATCAGTCCTTCCAATGAACACCCAGGACTGATCTCCATTGGGATGGACTG